TTCCACACACCCCGATCCACGCCTACCCCCAGAGGCCTGCTGGACCCTATTGTTCTTCCCCCACCTCTCAAGCCCGCCCCACATCAACCACGTGTAGGGCTTCGGGCCTCGGACTCGCCCGCGCCCCGGGGCACCGCCGCCAGGCCTTGGAGGGCACACGTGCGCAGAAGAGGGCGCCGGGTCCCTTCGCCCGCCAAATACATCTCCCGGAATGAATGCGCGGCTGCGGCGCGGCACCTGCGCAGCGAGAGGCCGAGAGGCCGAGAGGCCCGGCCCGGGGCGGCGGGGCGCCTCGCGTCGGATTGCAGCGCTGCGCTCGCTCGCACGGACCCCAGCCCCTCCGTCCCCAAACCGGTCCTGCAGAAAGACCCAGTTGGAGGACCAGCGGGCGCACGAGCCTAGCGGTGGCGGCAGGACCCACAACGTGGCGAGAATTCTCTCTCCCGGGCCCGAGCACGTTTCACTAATGGTCGGAGGACTTAACTCAGGCATTGGAGTCGGAGCCCAAGCCTTTCCAGTGTTTGCAGTCCGCTCCTCTGCCTCCCTGAGTGGACCTGAGAGCACAACCTTGTGACAAGAGGGGAAACACGGCTCAGAGCTTTCGGTAAAGTGCCTGTAAGTCAAAGCTAACAGCGGCATCTTTTCTAGGAACACACACCAATTAATTTTGATGACACAAACATAAAGACCAATAGCCAACTCCTTCGAGTAAGAGTAAAAAGAACAACCTGAAAAAACCTGGAGATAGTTTTCCTCCACAGGGCAGGTGGACGTTCTGAAAATGCTGTTGCTTCACATTGATCTCGTGCAACATTAATCAGTGCCCTGATAGGTATCCAGAGTTCTGGGGAAACTGGTTACTTGGGGAAAAAGGTTTTTTTTGGATGATCACCTTCCATGCTGTGCCAGTTTCCATATGGCTTAAAAGTTACAATGAAAAGAAATACCTACAGAGCTGTTTGCTTGGAATAAAGAATGTGGCCGGCAAGATGAAGATTTTTGTCTTTGGTTTCTAAAAGGTGGCCTCTAGATTCTTGGCATTTCCCTAGTAATTAATATCCCCGGTAGGCCCTGATCGTTCATCCTTCCTAGATGATTCATGAAGAGCCCCTGGGGAGCTGACACCAAGAAGATGACTCCGTGTAGAGGCTGGCCACTCCACAAAGACCATGTGCCTGGAGAGTTGGGGTTTTGAACTGCAAGATATCATTTGGAGGACTTCTTGACGTCTGGAGACCAAAGCAGGGTTGGAGACTGAGTTCAGCTTGAAGGCCAATGACTCAGTCATTTGTGCCTAGGTCGTGAAACCTTAATGAAACCTCTGGACATCGAACTCAAGTGAACTTCCCTGGATGGCAACATTCTATATATCGTCACCCACTGATGTGCTTGGAGGCTATGACATCCTGACAACACAGAGAGGAAAACAAGTTTCACTTTTGTAGCCCTTTCAGATCGTCCACTCTGAGTCTCACCCTTTGGCTACTTCTCATTCATATCCTAATGCTATAATAAAACTGGAATCACAAGCACAGTGCTTTCGTGAGTTCTGTGAGTCATGGGAGTGAATTATCAAAGTATCAGAAGGGGTACTGGGAAGCCCTGAATCTTTAGCCCACGAGCCAGAGGTGAGGGTGACCTGCGGATTCCTGGGCATGCGGCTGGTGACTGAAGTGAGGGCAATCTTATGGAGGACTGTGCCCTCAATCTGGGAAGTTTGGCCCAACGCTAGCCGGTTAGTGTGAGAAATCACCGAGGCTATGCACTATGTACTATGCATGATTCTAGGTGCTTTAAATGTATTAACTAACTTAATACTCCCATAGGAACTGTAGGAAGTAGATTCTATTATGAACCTCGTTGTACACATGTTGAATGGAGACACACAGATTCACCCACTCGCTGGGGAACACACAGCTAGTTAGTGGGAGAGCAAGGCAGAAGGGCTGTAGACCATGGATTGGTAAACTGCTACTCACAGGCCACATCATCAGACAACTGCCTGTTTTTCTACCATCTGTGACCATAGGATGTTTTTCACATTTGGAAATGGCTGGAAAAAATTCAGAGAGCTGTGTTTGTGTTTATTGTATAAGAGTGACTGCGTGATGACGGGCCAGTGTCTTTGAAAGAAAAGTTTAGTGTTGCTTGAAGTTCCCCTAGAGATGGGAGGCAGGGTAGAAGTCTCCAGGTCCCAATTCCACTGAGGGGGTTCCCCATACCAATGATAGGCAATTCTTGGACATCAGCCAGCTGTCCCACAACTTAACTCAATTGTGACACACGTCCTGGGACATAGCATCAGACCCCACAGCGTCACACTTCAGTCCTACGAGATTGACACCCCTCCCCACTTCAGACCCTAGCCACAAGCCCAGGTTATTATATGGTTATGACCCACCAGCTATTGCTTGGAGGTTCCCAGGCCAACTCCTTAAACTCCGTTCACAAGTTTAGGTTGTTACTGACTGACCGGCTATAGGTCAGAGCCACAAGCCACAAGCCCTTCCCTTGGGTTCAATTAATTTGAACTCACAGAACCCAAATATTTTACTTATTCGATTACGGATTTATTGTGGAATGTAGGATTCAGAAACAGCTAAACGGAAGACACATGTAGGGCAGGTGTGGGAAAAAGGTGTCGAGCTTCCATGCTGTCTAAACAAGCCACTCTCCCCATTATCTCCACATGTTCACCAACCTGGAAGCTCTTCAAACTCTGTCATTTTGTGTTTTTAGGGAGACTTCATCATATAGGCTTGCTATCTATTAAGGACTGGCCATTGGTTCCTGATGCAACGTCCAGCCCCTAGCCCATCCCTGAAGATCAGGAAGTGGGACTAAAAGTTTCACCCCTGTATGCATCGTTGGTTACCCTGGCAACCAGCCACCGTCTTTAGGTGTTTTCCACAAGTCACATCAGTAATGTCAACCCAGTTGTGGTGGAAAGGGTCTACTATGAATAATAAGACACCCGTTTCACTTTTATGACTCCAAAGCAATTTCAGAAACTGAGGGCAGCAGACCAATAGGATGACAAAAGATGCTCCCGTTGCTCTTCTCACTCAGGAAATTCCAAGGGTTTTGGAAGCCGTGAGCCAGGAACCATCGACAATGACCAATGTGAGACATATATTTTGGTCATTGAGTTGACTAAACATGTCTTTCTAATAAATTACAGTATCACATAGGGTCACGGGGACACGAAGCACCAGTGTCAAGAGGCAGGAGTAAAGATCACAGTTTTTGTGTTTGTTTTTTAAAGATAAGAGTGTTTTTATTTTCTTTAATTCCAGTACAGTTAACATACAGTGTAAAATTAGTTTTGGGTACATATATAATATAATACAGCGAGGCAACGATTCCATGTAACACCAAGTGCGTCATGGCAAATGCCCTACAGACTGTAGCGTTTTCTGGAATTTCCATGGGCAAGGAAAGGCAGAGCAGGTCAAACAGTTTAGAATTGGCTGGTTTGAATAATTGTGGAGGGTTTTGGGACATAGGGATTGACTTTGTCTGTTCCCTGGCCCTGGATTGATTTAGGGCAGGGGGATATTGGCTCGGTTTGTGATTATTAGATAAAGGAGGTGGTTGGGGGTATGGGGCGGGGCTGGTTTACCTGTGAGAGGAGTGCTGTCAGGCAAGTTGTTTATCGCAATAGGAATTAACCACCACCACCCCCCCAGGAGGTCAACACATCCTAATGAGGAGGAGATAAAAAATATGGTTAATATAGCGTCTCAAAATACACGAACATTTTGTGAAATTCTAATTTTAGTGCATAAAAGTAAAGTTTCATTGAAACATAGCAATATTGACTTATTTATTATTGTCTATGGCTGCTGTCACTCTACAACAGCGAGTTGACTTGTGATAGAGGCCATATGGCCTAGGAAACCTAAATTGTTGACTATTCGGCCCTTTTCCTAAACTAAATTTTGTCAACCTCTGCTCTACAGTAAAAGCCCTTCGTCTGTATGAAACACTGCATAAAAATGAAGATGTAAAATTATGAACATTTTTAAAATACAAGGCTATATGCAGTAAATCTTTAGGTGGAGAGACTCTCACTTTTACCATAAGGGAAAAATTAGATTATGTTATGGAAGATATGAAAACTTTCTATGGTAAAAAACCATCATAAAGGTACTTCCACCTGTGGGAAGATGGAGGAGATCTAGTTTTCCCTGTTCCTTCTGCCAAGAAAGAGCTCGCGGTCCTAATACATCTTCTGGGACTGCATCGTTTTCTGGCTTTCACAGTTTGTACTGAAAAGTCAGTTGAGCGGGGATCATGCCAGGGACCCTCCCTGAGGGCCCTGGAGCCCTGCCGAGGGACAAGGACCCCTGACTGCCAGGCGATTCCTGTGCCTCAGCTCAAGCATCAGCGCAGGAGATCTGGCAAAAGCTGAGGGTGGTGGTCGCGGGGTGGCCACACCTTGGCCGGATCATTGCCATCGCGGTGCCAGGGCTCAGGTGCCCGCCTGCACCATCCCTGCGCGCCCCCGGGCCTCGCGGGCCTCGTGCCCGCGCGCGCGCGCGCGCGCTCTGAGGCGCCCTGGGTTCCGAAGCCGTGTCCTGGCAACGGGCCAAACACTGCTCCGGGCCTTCGCCGCCACGTTGGCAACCGAAGGAGAGCGCTGGGAGCCCAGCTCTGTATGCACGGCCTCCGCCCGGAGCCAAGGGCTCGAAGGGCACCTACCTGGGCAGGCTGCGCCCCTCAGGCACGGCCCGGGCCCCGCGGGGTCGGCCCCGGCAGCAGGCCTCGGCCGCCTGCAGCCCGCTCACTGCAGCGCCCGACCAGCCTTGGCCCGCAGGGGTGGCCCAGCGGTCCAAACGGCAGGGTCCGCTCCTAGGCCATCCTGCAAGCGTGCCGCGACCTGGGATCGGCGCTGGTTCCTTGCATCGGCCACAAGGTACTCTGTGATCCCGCGGGCCCTGCGCTCTGTTCTGGGGCTCATCACCTAGATCTGCAGGCGAGGCGGCCTGCACAGGACGATGCTGTCAGCCCCCCAAGCACAGGCGTCCCTCACCTGCGCGTCCACCCTGGGCAGACTCCCTGCCTCCGTGCCGCAGCTGCGGCTTGTCACCCCGGGGCCAATGGCAGCACCCAGCTGTGCCCAAGATGTCTCCGCAGTGAAGAGGGCGTGGAGGGCCCGGGAGGAGGAGGACCCTGCCCTCACAGGGCCCCCAGATGCTCGGAGAAGGTGCGCTAGAGGTGCCGGGGCAGCACGGTCGGCATTCAGGCCCTTCGGGGCGGACAGAAGCCTGTGTTCCTTCGTGCCCAGGCCTGGGCCTCTGCACAGAAGCCTCCCCGCAGAGAGAGCAGCCGACGCAGCAGACAAGAAGTCCCACACGTCCAGCAGGAGCTCGTGCCGCACTCGAAATGCCATCAGCAGCTCCTACAGCTCCACCAGGGAGTTCCCGTCCGTGCAGAGGAGGAGGGGTCCAGCCAGAAGACAGGGCCGGCTGCCCCCGAGGCCCCCAGAGAAAGTCAGCCGAGACAGCCCCTCGTGTCCCGCTGCGCCTGCTGTGCCTTGCCAGATGAAGGACCAGCGCCAGGAGGAGGCGGGTGCCACCACGGGGCAGAAAGAACCCTGCAAGGACCGCTCACCCACATCTGACTGCTCCAGGCCCCGAAGACGCAAGATCCCTCTGCTGCCACACAGGCCAGGGGGTCCTGTGCGGCTGCCGCCAGCCCCTGAGCTCGGCTTTCGAGTCACCGCTGAGGACCTAGACGGGGAGAAGAAAGCCGCCCTCCAGCGCATCGACCGTGCTCTGCGAGGGGAGATGGAGGGCGTCTCGAGGTGCGGCTCCGGGTGCCCTCCCGGTGCCTTGCCCTGGCCTGCTGCACGGGCCGTTGTACTGCCAGCTGTCCCTCCAGCCCCTGGCCTGAGTGCACAGCGGGCGGAGCAGGACTCCCCGGGTCCCCTGGCTGTCCTGTCGCCTGGTGGAGGGGCTGTCTCTGTGCCGCCTCTGTCTCAGGGGGAGCCCAGCTCCCCTGGCGCCGCCTCCTCCCTGTCACAGCCCCTCCCAGGCACCTGTGCACGATCCCCACCCCCAGCCCCATGCACCTTGCTGGCCTCTGCCTCCTGCCCGGGATGGGGATCGGGCAGGGCTGACCCGTCTGCCGAGGGCCCAGACCCGTCCAGGCCTGCTCCCTGCTCTGCATCAGGCCTGGCGTGTGCACTGAGCAGCCCAGCTCCTGGCTGTTCCATTCCCGCAGCTGCTGCAGAGTCCCTGCGCCCCTCCAGGGTGAAGCGCGGCAGGCACTGCCCTCGGATGGGAGGCGAGGGAGGGGGCTCTCTGCCAACCAAGGACTGGGTCAGCGGTTTACCGGATGCCAGCTGTGCCTTCCCCACTGTTACCAGCACCTCCAGAACGCAGTGCCCTAGCCCCATGTGTGTTGACTGTCCCGTGTTCAGCTCCCGGAGCTCCCCTCCCGCCGTGGGGCCTCGTGCCCCCACTTCCAGGAGCCTGCCGGTCACTTGTGCTGTCCCTTCCAGCCCCTCAAGCGGCACATCCGCAGGCTTGGCTCCCCAGCCAGCCTCTGACGGCCAGGTCACCCCCATGGACTGCACTCCCCCTTGCCAGCCTCTGCTCTTGGGGTCTCCCCCTGGCTCTAGTGGGAGCTTCTTTCCATCTGCCCGGGCCTTTCCGATGCCCTCCAGAGACAGCATGGGCTCAGGCAGAGCCACCACTGGCCTGCACACGCTGGGGCTGTGGAGCCCCAGCCCACCTGGGAACCGTCCCCGTGGGAACCCAGGAACCCCAGCTCAGCCCACATTCGGGGCCACTGACGGGCAGTGTCAGGGAGCCACCAGCCTTGGCAGCGCTGCCCCCTATGGACAACGGGCAGCTCCAGCCTCAACCGCAGCCCCGGCCCTGACCTTGGCTCTAGGCCAGCTCTCCTTGGGCAGCGCCACACAGGTGGCTTTCGGGGGTTCCTGGCCCACATCCTGCAGCTCGGGGACCCATGCTGGCACCCAGCCAGGCGTGGCTGCCACCCCAGCTGTCGTGCCCCCCGGCACGGCCACCGCCCCTAGCTCCATGACCAATGCTGGGCCCAACAGCCGGCAGCCCTGCCCAATAGCTGGCGGCTCAAGCCTAGCCCCCTTGAGCTTGGGGGTTGCCGCAGCCCCCGCAGGCTTGGGGAGGCGACAGGCTGCCCCAGGTCGGAAGCGCAGCTTTGGAGCTCTCAGCGTTACACCACAAACGAGCGGGGCCCCGAGCGGCACACACCGCTCTGGGGACAGCTTGGGCCCGAACGCCCGGGGCCACCCTTGCGGGAGCACCCCCATCACCACCGTCCGAGCCAGCACTCAACACAACCCTGTGTCTGGAGGCCCGAAAGCCCCTCGTGTAAGTCCCAGCCCGAGGCACCTAGCGGCTCAGAGGCCCCCGAGGCCCAGCCCGGAGCCCAGCAGCACTGCCAGCGAGGCCACCTGCAGGGCCGCGTGGGTCCCGGGCCCTACTCCTCCCGGCGCTGCCTCTGTGCTGAGCACAGCCAGGAGCAGCCCTGCCAGGACGAGCCCCTCGTCAGCTGCCCAGGGCTGGGGGAGTCGCAAAAGAGCTGCGCCGGGCCACAAGTCATTTGCCTCCGCCTCGCAATCCACTCTTTTGGGGTCTAGGAGGAAAATGCGGGCCTGAGTCCACAGCTTCCTTCCTTCCTTCCTTCCAAGTCGCCCGCCTGCCCCTTCCCTCTAGGCTACACGTGTATGGACCTCATGCCCATGGGAAACCCTAGTCTAGCCCTGACCTCTGTGCACCTGGAGCGACCCTGGGCATCCCGAAAGCCACCATCCAGAATATTCCCAAGCCTTGCCCCGCACTTTTGCCCAAAGGTGGGTGGCTCGAGGCTGTGTCAGATCCCAGTGGCTTCAGGCCCCAGGACAGTGCGCACAGGCCCGTGTCCCATCTGCCTCCAGTCCTGCAGCACACACGACTCCTCCTCCACCCACACTTGACTCTTGCCCTCCCCATGTTCCTTCTATGTTCTACCACTTTCCCCAGGGCTTAAAATAAAGCCTTGCTCCACTTATTTGCATTAAACAAAAATGTCAGTTGACATTCTTAGTTCTTAAAGGGAATATGTTTTCTCTGACTACTTTTAAGACTTTCCGTTGTTGTTTTTTTTTTTTTGTTTCAATAAAGAACATCTTTATTGAGATATAATTCACCCGTTTAAAGTGTCTTATTTGGTGGCTTTTAGTATACAATCCAGTGCTCATTACACCACGTGCCCTTCTTAATGTCCATCACCTAGCCCCACTCCCCTCCCCTCCAGCAAACCTCAGTTTATTTCCTGTGATTAAGAGTCTCTTATGGTTTGTCTCCCTCTCTGGTTTCCTTTTGTTTTATTTTTTCCCTCCCTTCCCATATGATCCTGTTTTGTTTCTTAAAATTCCACCTATGCGTCAGATCATATGATAATTGTCTTCCTCTCATTGACTTTTTTCACTTAGTGTAATAGCCTTTAGTTCCATCCACATCATTGCAATTGGCAAAATTTCTTTTTTTTTCTTTGATGGCTGAGTAGTACTAATCATATGTGAATGATTAGTTATCTATCTATCTATCTATCTATCTATCTATCTATCTATATCTCTGTCCATCCTCTTTATCCATTCATCTGTCAATGGACATCGGGACTCTTTCCATAGTTTGGCTGTTGTGGACATTGCTGCTATAAGTTGGGATGCAGGTGCCCCTTCAGATCACTACATTTGTATCTTTGGGGTGAATATCTGGTAGTGCAATTGCTGGGTCATAGGGTAGCTCTGTTTTCTACTTTTTGAGGAACCTCCATACTCTTTTCTTGCATTCCCAGCAACAGTGTAAAAGGGTTCCCCTTTCTCTGCATCCTTGCCAATGTCTGTTCTTTCCTGCCTTGTTAATTTTAGCCATTCTCACTGGTGTGAGGTGGTATCTCATTGTGGTTTTTATTTGTATTTCCCTGATGCCAAGTGATATTGAGCATATTTTCATGTGTGTGTTGGCCATTTGTATGTCTTCTGTGGAGAAATGTCAGTTCATGTCTGCTGCCCATTTCCTGATTGGATTATTTGATCTTTGGGTGTTGAATTTAGGAAGTTCTTTATGGATTTTGGATATTAGCCCTTTACCTGATATGTCATTTGCAAATATCTTCTCCCATGCTGTCAGTTTTCTTTCGATTTCGTTGACTCTTTTCTTTGCTGTGCAAAAGCTTTTTACCTTGATCAAGTCCCAATAGTTCATTTTTGCCTTTGTTTTCCTTACCTTTGGAGATGTGTCTACTGAGGAGTTGCTGCAGCCAAGGTCACAAAGGTTGCTGCCTGTGTTCTCCTCTAGGATTTTGATGGACTCCTGTCTCACATTTAGGTCTTTCTTCCATTCTGAGTCTATTTCTGTGCATGGTGTAAGAAAAACGATCCAGTTTCATTCTTCAGCATGTGGCTGTCCAGCTTTCCCAACACCATTTGTTGAAGGGACTTTTTTTCCATCGGATATTCTTTCCTGCTTGATTGAAGATTAGTTCACCATAGAGTTGAGGGTCCATTTATGGGTTCTCTATTCTGTTCCATTGATCTGCGTATCTGTTTCTTTTTTTTTTTAATATTTTTTTTTATTTATTTATGATAGGCACACAGTGAGAGAGAGAGAGAGAGAGGCAGAGACACAGGCAGAGGGAGAAGCAGGCTCCATGTACCGGGAGCCCGACGTGGGATTCGATCCCGGGTCTCCAGGATCGCGCCCTGGGCCAAAGGCAGGCGCCAAACCACTGCGCCACCCAGGGATCCCCCTGCGTATCTGTTTCTGTGCCACCATAGTCTCTTGATGATTCCAGCTTTGGAATAGAGCTTGAGGTCTGGAATTGTGATGCCACCCTTTTGGTTTTCTTTTCCGACATTCCGTTGGCTATTTGGGGTCTTTTTCTGGTTCCATACAAATTTTAGGATTCTTTGTTTCAACGCCGAAATAAGTTGATAGTATTTTGATAGGGGTTGCATTGAATTTTTAGATTGCGCTAGTATCATAGGCATTTTAACAATATTTGTTCTTCCAATCCACGAGCATGAGCATGGAGTGTTGTTTTTCCATTTCTTCGTGCTTTCTTCAGTTTCTTTCATGAGTGTTCTATAGTTTTCAAGAGTACAGATCCTTTGCTCCTTTGGTTAGGTTTATTCCTAGGTATCTTATGGTTTTTGTATACCATGTTTTCTTGATTCACTCACCATTTGATGGACATTTGGCTTGTTTGTACTTAAAAAAGAATTATTTATGAGAGAGAGAGAGAGAGAGAGAGCACAAGGTGAAGGGGAAGAGGGAGAGGGAGAGAGAAATTCCAGCAGACTCCACACCCTGTGCTGAGCCCAAGGCTGGGCTTGATCTCATGACCCGGAGACCACTGTACCTAAGCTGAAACTGAGAATTGGATGTTCAGCTGACTACATCACCCTGGCGCCTGTTTCTACCTTTTGATTTATATGATTGTGTCAACAGTGTATACATTTTGGTGCACACACCACTTTCAATTTTTTTGGGTAGATTCCTGGCCGTGGAATTGCTGGGTCCAAAGTAGGTCTATGTTTAACCATTTGAGGAACTGCCAAGTTTTTTTCCAAAGTGCTACACCATTTTACATTCCCACCAGCAGTGTTTAACGGTTCTAGTTTCAGGGCATCATCACTACCATTTGTTATTATCTGACTTTTTGATGTTAGCCGTGTAGTGGCTGTGAAGTGGTATCTCACTGCGGTTTTGATCTGCCTTTTCCTGCTGACTAATAACATCAAGCATTCTTCATGTGTTTGTTGGCTATTTACATACGGTGTAAGGATTCAGGTTCATTCTTTGTCATGTGCCTAGCAAATGTTCCCAGGACCACTTGTTGGAAGAACAGTCCTCTCCTTGTTGAATGCTCTTGCCACTCATGTCAAAAACCACTTGCACATAGGTATATGGGTTGATTTCTAGAGTCTCCATTTATTCTGTCGATCTATATGTCTCCCCATATGGTAGCACCACATCATTACACCATAATTTTGTAGTAATTTTCAAAATCAGGAAGTGTAAGCCCTCCAACTTTGTTCTTTTCAAGATTGTTTCGGCGCTTCCACGTCTCTTGCAGTTCCATATGCATTTAAGGATCATCTTTTCCATTTCTGCAAAAGAAGCTACTGAGTTTTGATAGGGATTTCATTAAACTGTAGATGCCTTTGGGCAATACCGCATCTTAAAAATATCAAGTTTCCCAATCAACGGTCGCATACCACCTTTCCTTTTGCTTAGGCCTTTAACTTTTCTCAGCAGTGTTTTCGTAATTTTCAGTGTAGAAGTGTACTTGCTTGGTTTAATTTATTCCTTGGTATTTTATTCCTTTGGGAACTATTATCAAGTTGTTTGCTTAATGTCTTTTTTGAATTGTTCATTGATATTGTATGGAAATACCACTTACTTTGTATGCTGATCTTCTGTCCTGCAATTTACTGAATTTATTTATTAGCTATACTAGTTTGTGTGTGAGGCAGGAGGGGGATTTTTTTTTTTAATTTTACGGAGATTATGTTACCTATGAATAGATACAGTTTTATATCTCTCTTTCTAATTTGGATGCCCTTCATTTCTTTTTCTTGGCTAATTGCTCTGGCTGTCATTTAACACAATGTTGAATAAAGTGCTGAAAGAAGGCATCCTTGTTCTGTGCTTGATCGCAGAGGGAAAACTTTTAGCCTTTTCCCACTGAATATGTTCTCTGTGAGTTATTCATAAGTTATCTTTATCATGTTTGGGAAGTTTCCTTCTTCTAGTTTGTTGCATTTTCATCATAAAAGGGTATTGAACTTTGTTAAAGACTTTTTCTGCATTAACTGACATGATGAGATGATCAGGATTGCTCCCCCTCCTTCATTCTATTAATGTATGCTGATGGATTGTTTTAATAATGAACCACTCTTTTATTTCTAGGATAAATCCCACTTGTTCATACTAGTAATGATAATAAAAATAATAATCCATTTAATATGCTAGATTTGGTTTGATAACAGTTTGCTGAAGATTTTTCTCATATATACTCCTAAAAATTTGGGTTTGTAATTTTCCTCTGATGTCTTTGTCTGGCTTTAGTATCACTTCATACCCACCAGGATAGATAGCATCAAAAAGTCAGACACTGTTGGGAGATTTGAGAATAATTTCCATTAGTTCTTTAAGTGTTTTATAGAATTTTCCAGTTAAGCCATCTGGTTCTGAGCTTTTCTTTGTGGAGAGGTTTTTGCTTACCGATTCAGTCCATTCATTATAGGTCTGATATAGGGCTGTTCTATTTCTTCTTGAATCGGTTTCAGTAGTTTGTGTGCTTCTAGGGATTTGTCCATTTTCTAGGTCATCTAATTTATTGGCATATAATTAATTGCTCCTACTATCCTTATGATCTTTTTCATCTGCAGGTCTGAATGATGTCCCCACCATCACACAGTTAACCTCTGAACCGCATGGGGTATAGAGACACTGACCCCCCACCCATGCAGTTTGAAATCCGCATATTACTTTGGACTCCTCCAATATGTAACTAATAGCCTACTGTTGACTGGAAGCCTTATCAATAACAATTAAGACGCATTTTGTATGTCGCGGTATTATATATAGTATTCTTAAAGTAAGCTAGA